ACAAGTAATCATAATCATCCCCATCAAGCTCCTTAATTTCATTCATTGCTGTTTCATATTCAAGCTATGGACATAACAGTAAGAGTGTATTCAACTATTGTAGAATATGAATAGATAAATGAAAAAAGCAAGAGTGTGATCAATTACCTGTGTTGTTGCCCTTGCAGCACTCTAAAAAAGTTCCTTGAACACTAATCCAGTGAACTTCAGCTTGAAATTTGCCCAAATATGCGTAACACAGAACCTAGTTTCTGCATTAGGCACTACATGAGCAAAAGCTTCAACCAACCCCTGTTTTACAGCATCTAAATACACCAATCATTATTCAAATTTAATTAAATGCAGAACACACTAATCACAAGAGAGATAAAAACATTTTTACCTTCTACCTGTCTGACATGAAGGTGAAACCTACACCAACTGAACTTCCAAGAGTATTCATCAATGAATCCAAGAACCACACCCATGTCTCCTTGTTTTCTGCCTCACAAGTTGTCCAAGCTATAGGGTAAATGCTGTTGTTCCCATCTTTAGAGACTGCTACTGAAATCTGCCCTGGGTAAGCTCCTTTCAAGTGACAGCCATCCACCCCAATAATGAGCCTACAACCATTCAAGAATCCATCCTTCAAAGCCCTCAAACACACAAACATTCTAAAAAACAAGGGTGGCTCAGGCTGGTCATTTCCATCTATAACTACATTACAACCTGACCCTGCGTTGTATTTCATTAAACCCTTCCCATAATCCCAGACCCTTGCATATTGCTCCCTTGCAGAACCAAAAATAATCAACTTATCCCTACATCTAGCCATCCAACACCTGAAGTAGGTCACTTGAACTCCCAAATCTTGAAGAACCCTATCTCTAATCTGCTTAATCTTCCATGTAGGGTTACTTCTGAACTCATCAAGGTACCTCTCTGCAATGAATTCTGCAGTCACCTTTTTGTTCTCCCTGCATCTCAAACATTTGTGCTTTAACCTCATGCTCTTAATTTGCCAAGTCTCCTTCCTAACTAACTTTCTAGCATGTATCTTGAAGTTGCACCTCACTCCACCCTTGCAAATACACATAGGCATCCTACTTGTCTTTGTCTGATACTTACATCCACATCTGTTCTTACATTGAACAGTAATCCTACTACTATCATTGTGTAAGAAGTAGTATTCATACCTATTCTCAATTGCATGCACTCTAAGGGCTTTCCATCCTCAACACTGAAGCACTGCTAAACTTAAGTCTATTAACAAGATCTACAGGCCTTGTGAAGTCAGTTTTCTCATTAAACCAAGGACTGATGTCCTCTTCATCTGATGAACCATCCAGGCTCCTAAGCTGAACTGACTCTCCCTCAAGTTCTGCCTGCAGCTAAACCTCACTCACATCCAAGTTCTCATTCAGCCTTGACCTAGGATCCTTTGTAATCCCCTGGTCATGTACATCCAGTTGCTTCCCAAGACTCCTACTTACCTTCTCCAAAATCTCTTCAGAATTCTGTATAAACCACCTCTCATCCCCACTATCATGCTCCTCCTCACCAGGCTCCCAAGTTATATCAATGTCACTCCTGTCAGTTGAAGAATACCCCTCCTCACTCCCAGATTCACTGCCCTCACTAACATCCTCAAAATCCAAACCCTTGGCTACAAATTTCTTTTTCCCCTTCCCCTTATCCAACACCTTCCTACTACCACCTACCCTTTCACTCTTTACTGTCCCCTTCCCCTTATCTAACAACTTACCACTAGCAGCTACCCCTTCACTGTTTTCTATCCCCTTACCCTTATCCTGCCTAGATTTAGGTTTAGGAGGAGATTCATTCCTTTCACTGAGCTTAGGATCAATTTTGTTAAGTCTTGGGCTCTTCCTAACTTGTACAGGATTTCCTGTACTCTTCCCCTCTCTCTCAACCTTTTTTGGAGTGGACTGGGCCTCATAAATGGGCCTTAAAGTTTCATCAGCAGTCACAAACACCTCAACATACCCTTCCACACCCACTGTTTCTAATAGCCCCTTAACCTCCTCTTCATTAACTAACTCCCTCCTACATGTGTTAAAGGTCCTCCCACTTTGTTTATACCACAATCTGTAAATTGATGGGACATGGACATTATAATTAACAAACCCATGCACATCACCTTCCCTCAAATAAGGCACATCTATCTTGTACACTACCACATCCCTCCTCCAATAACATAACCCACCACACCAGCAAAGCAAATGTTTTGTTTTGGACACTCTTTTGGGAACAAAAGCACCCCCCCACTCTGAATACTATATCAATTAATCCTTCTTGGTTGTTGGCCATTTATCTATCCAATAAACAGGTACAATGCAAGTTAACACAAGGCAACATTTCTTAACACAATTACACAGTCAAACAAATGCTTTAATCAAGAAAAGACAGCATATTTAACACAACATATGTACAAACCAGTCAACAGGTCACAATAATCAACTTAATAATTAAACGAAAAAGCTAACCAATTACACTAGTTGAACCATAAAATACTCACACACAACTTTAATTATATGTTCGCACAGTACACAAAGTAATTCATACCCAATTTTTCATTTTTTAGGGTTCCTATTTTTTTCCCAAAATACCCTACATTCCTCATGAAAATGGCATAATTAACTTCAAAACTTGTTGAAAACTACTTTATAGGGTTCGAAAAGTACCTATTTTGAAATCTTGTTGTTGTTGCTGTCAGAATCCACGAAAGATCCAAGCTTTTTTTGGTTGAAAATGGCTGACGACTTCACGCTGAGTTGTTTCGCCCCTATACTGACACCTCCCTTCGCAATTCAATTTCTCAACCACACATTCCAACTTAGGGTTTGCATTGTCTCCAGAATTTTGTTTGTTGACGAATTAAGGATTCGAATTCAATGAAGGAGGAGTAGTTGAGCATTCAATGGCAGGAGAGAGAATCGTATAGAACATGAGGAAATTTGGAGGGTAAACTAACTTGTGGGACCCACATATAATTTCCGTTACAGAATCTGTTATCTGGTGGTGAAATCAAAATTTAAATTTTTTTTTTAAATGGTGTTATAATAAAACTTTGAGATTTTGTGGTGTTAAAAACAAATTTTTGTCTTTTTTCAGGGGTTATTTTCTAAAATTTGTTAAAAACAATCAAATTTTGTGGTATTAAGAACAATCAATTTTTCAGGTGTTAAAAACAAATTTTTTTTACGAAACTTAACAATTTTACTCTCAAAAAATTTGATTGTTCTTTCTGGTGGATTACGAGTGTTCTCCTCCATTGAAGCATTTCTCCATTAAAATGGGCTTATGACTCTTATGAGCTTGCTTACGAGTATTCTCCTCCATTGAAGCGTTCTCCATTAAAGGTGGGCTTACGAGCTTTCTCCATATGGACTCCACCATTAACAACACCGCCACCACCACTATCTCCTTGCCGGCCACCACCACTAACACCTACATTCACTGGGCCCACCACCACCATTCTGATTTTTTTTTTTTTTTTTTATATAAAAAAAAAAGAAACGTCCAAAAATCTGGTAACCCGTAGGTGGAAACACCTGGATTTTTTGTTCCCACCTGCAGGTTACAAAAATATATGCGTTCCCAGCAAACCGCCGGAGAAATTTAGGCGTTTTCACCTTGCGAGATTCGGAATACAATATTTTCGACCGTTCCTCAGCCACCAACAGAAACTCCACCGCACCCCACCTATCTTCTCTATTACCAATTCCTTAAACTTTAAACTCTTAATTTTGTTGCTAATTGAACTAGCTACTATAGCTACATGAAGTGGCGTTTTCTAGTAGTAGTTTTTAAAATATATATATATATATATATATATATATATATATATATATATATATATATATATATATATAGAATTATTAAGGGAAAAGATATTTAATTATATTGCATTAATTAAATATGAAAGAAGCCTTTAGATAGGCAACAAACAAATCAACTCATGCTAAATTAAAGGAAACACTAATGAGATCATGGTCCACGAAACATACTGCTATGCTTATACTTAGAAAATGGATTATAGGATTCCTAACTAACAAAAGACCACTACCAAATAAAGCATGTTCTTATTCTAAAGTTTAGGAATTACTTATATATATATATATATATATATATATATATATATATATATATATATATATATATATATATATATATATATATATATATACTAAACTAGCTACTATTCAACTCTTCAATCATTCTTAAAGAAAAAAAAAAAACGCTTCAATCATGAACTCTTGAGCCCTTTACCAGATTGATAATAAAAACCTTAATTTCATCAGACCTAGATTACGTAGTTTTTCAAAAAATCAACATTTGCCATTTGGACATAAATTACATTTGAGCAGTGTGAGAAGAGGAAAACATCATAAAACGACAATTGTTTTTGAAAGTTTCCACAGATCGGTGAGCTTTCTCTTGGTCTGTGAAAGCGGTGCACGATGATGGCGGAGGCAGCACTTGTGAGGGCGGAGGCAAACTCAATAGTGATTAAAAAATAAAGATTGAGAGAGAAATTTTGCAATATAATACCTTAAATCTATGTTGCACGAAAACGGGAAACGGGGAATTGGGGAAACAGAAATTTTAAAATTATGGGAAACGGGGACACAAAAAATAATAATTAAAAAGACATTTAATTAGAATAAAATAACTAATTGCAAGAAATAAAAACAAACTAATACTTAGTCTTTTAAGTCTGAAAAAAGCTTATGATAAAGATAAAAGTACTAAAATCTAATTGGTCTAATAATTAGTGTCGTTCGAACAAAACTCAGATTCCAATTCTGGTTCATCAAGAGAAAGCTCAGCAAACTCAAGAAATCCCCCTTCTTCCATGTTATCAAATTGATCACCACCGATATCCCACATCCGTGTTTTCTCATCTTTGTATTCATTTGTGTTTCTTGATAGAAGTCGAAGATTGTAATGAATATAAACCAAATCCTCAATTCGTTGTGGAGTTAACTTATTTCTTCTTAGTAAATGAATAAATTGTATGTGCTCCAATTGCGTTTACAACATGATGAAGAAGTAGGTTGTCCAAGAACTCTTAAAGCCAATACATGTATAATAGGAGTAGATGAACCAAAACTTGCCCACCAGAGTATAGGATCCATGGTGCTTCTACAATGTAAGTTCTCTCCACCTGTATATGGTCCTGACTTGAAAGAAAACATCCCAAATTCTTCCATAGCCTGTTTAAAATCTTGAGGATCTGGAAAAAGCTTTCTGAAACACTTAATCCTCCCTTCATATATTTCTGCATCACTATGAGATGATACTCTATCAGGATCCTCATGAAGCCACATATCACTATAAAACCTTGAAAATAAAATCAATTTCATAGTGTTATGAACAATACAAAATATTCAAAGATAAAAAAAATAATTAAAGTAATTAATGGAGTTAAAATACCTAGGATTTAATGAGTGAGCTAAACAATGAAGAGGGGTGTTGCTTTTTGCCCAACGTGATACCAAAATTTTAAGAACTACTTCATAGAAGTTAGATTGTTGATCATGTTGCAAGCCTTCATGAGTATAATTTCAAGCTTCACCTTTTCAATCATAGTATCCCACATCTCATACACTAAATGCAAAGTTGGTTTGTCAGTATCACAAATCCTAATCATGTCATATATAGGTCCAGTGAAGGCAACAATGTACTCTACTTTCTCCCATAATGCATCACTTGTTACCTTTTCTTTCACAAACCTAGCCTTGCCTTGATCATCTTCTCTATAACTCGTCCATTCCTCTCTTACTACCATTGTTTCAAGAGCACGACGAATAAGCTTAAATCTCCTAAGCATAACAACCATTGAAGCAAAACGAGTATCAGCCACAACAAGTAACTTCAAAGAACAGTATTTGTTAAATATGGCCAATCTTATACTATGAGTCATAATGAAGTTTTTCACCTGAATAGCGTCCTCATATGAACTTCAGTAATCCAATGACACTCATCATATGTTTCTTGATTAGAATCTAAATTTTTTGGAGCACAAATGTTTTTCAAAGCAAGGTTTAAAGTATGGACAACACAAGGTGTCCAATAGATCCAAGGAAATCTGCTCTCAATGATTTCTCCCGCACCTTTGCAATTTGGAGCATTATCAGTAATTATTTGAACAACATTCATAGCTCCAACCTCATCAATTACTTGTTTCTTAAGATCAGCAATAAAATGTTTGTCTTTAACCTCACCAAAACAATTAACAGATTTAATAAGTATTGGACCACATCCAGAAGTAGCCATAAAATTAATTAAGGGTCTTCTTTGTGGGTCACTCCAACCATCAGAAACAATAGTGACTCCTTTCTCCCTCCATGTATTTTTGATGGGTTGCATTAGTGTCTCTATATTCTCCTTCTCTTGTTGAATTTGTACAATTCTCAACTTATTGTAGCCTAGTGGGATATAACCAGTCAAATTATGATTAGCAGCATAGGTAAAGGCACTCATGTAATACGGATTTCTTGCTAAATTAAAAGGCAAACCAGCAGTAAAGAACATTCTAGCAATCAGAGAATCTAAAGTATTTCTTGCAGTAACATCATATAATTTGGAGATTGGGTTTTCCTTTCTTTTCCTTGATGTAGTAGGAACAACAAAATCTGAGCCTCCTGGTGGTAAAGGAACATTATTAGGTGCTTGATTATCAAATATGTAAAATCAAGGGTTTAATTGCTGGGGAAATGCCTATTTATAGTGAGAATCAAGTTTCCCAAGGGTTTCCAAACTTCCCAATTATAAGAGACGTATCCAATATTTAGGAAACTCACAGAACAGTTTCGAAACATCATACGTTTCCGAAACGTTTCGGAGACGGTATGTGAGGTAAATTTGTCGTTTCCGTGCATCACAACCTTAAATCAATTGACTAAAAAAAAAAACAAATCTCAAACCTAATTTATCCATGCCTAATCTAAAATCCATCTAAAAGTTTGAGGATGAAGGGAAATTGAGAATGGATTTGGAAGAGTAAGTGAGTGAGTGAGTGAGTGAGAGAAGGTAATTTTTGGTGAGTATGTTTAAGCGACATTAACAAGAGAAAAATATGTACGGTGGGAAACCGCTACTTAAATATGTAAGGTGGGAAACCACTAGTTCAAATAGCGGTGTTGTAAAAAAACCGGAGATGGGGAAATTACCTAACTGAACCGCTGAGGTGGACGGTAGATTGGGAAATTCTTTTTAAAAAAAAAATAGTTGGACGTACTTTTGTAATAGGTATCTTTGTAACATTATTTAGGGAAAGAGCTCATTACTTTTGGTAATTCTTTTTTTTTTTCAATAGAGAAATAATTGAGTTTATATAGAGAGACAAAACATGGTAAATTTTGAATTTCAAAGTGATTCAATGTTATTATGAAGTTGATTTTATCGTCCCGGTGAATTTTTTAATTGAAAGATGTAATTAATGAATTCTTTGTTTAGAGAAAAGGTATTTTTCTATTTTTTATCCTTTTTTTTTGTTATAGTCAGAGTTTGAATAAGATGTTTTTCATTTTCAGATTAGTATTCTTTTTATCATTTTTGAGATCCATATTTATTTTTAATTGGAATGAAATATGTTTATTGAGTATGATAAATATGTTCTTTGAGTTTGATGATCTTTACAAACAATGTTCTTTAAGGTATATAGATTAAAATATTCTTTGTGTGTCAATAATACAATTTAAGTTCTTTTTACTTGAATAATATGTTCTTAAATTTAAAAATGAAATTCTGAATTATATTTGAATGAAAATAATTTTAAATAGAGAAAACCTGGATATAAAATGAGGGGATGTTTCTCAAAAAATGCATAATGTTCTTTATAATTATAATCAATGTAGGACACTTACATGTGTTATTTAGGAAGGATACTAAGAAAGTATATTTCAAGATCAATGAATCTAACAAGATCCCTTATATTTAAATGTTATTCGGCATAGTCTAAATTTTAGCAATCACTAGATATTAAGATCTCACATAACTATAGTTAAATTGAATCCGTTTTTAACCTAGGGATAAAATAAAAATAAAAAAATCTTACCAAACATGCTCTTAGCATTATTTTTATTTGGCAGTCAAATCTTTATATCTTCCAATGTTGACGAATAGTATCGGGTTGAAGTTTTTTCCGAGTTGGAAGTGGATTCAGTTTTATTACTATCACCATATATGTATTGATTGCCAAGCCTAGTTCAATTTAGTTCAAAATGTGTGCGACCCGATTTTTTGATATAGCATTTCTTAGCCAAACATGTTGATTATTACTTGTATGTACTAATTCAATTAATTGATTGTGATCTGTGATTGAGGGCTTGAGGCTATAAAATATTATTAATACAGTAAATAAACCTTGGTTGAAATAGGGAGATATTTTCAACGTACAATAGCTAACATACACTTAAAATCAACACCTTTCTTTGAATTTCTTCTTCTCTAAGCTAATACTATTCGAATTATGCCTAACAAGAGGGGGTGTATAACCATCACGAGTTGAAACCTATTAAGTTTGCATCCATGATGTTCTATTTAAAAGACATCCAATTTGATATAATTTTAAAACCAAATTACAGGGAAAAAATTTCAATAATTAATTGGAAAAAAAAAAAACAACATTTTAATACCAAATTACATGGAAGAAATTTCCATAATTAAATGGAATAAACACTACATACGAGCTTAAAGTTTATGAAAGATAACAGGGACACCATGTTGGGGTTGAAGGGCTATAAAAGTTGTAGGAGCATGGGTGTATGATGGTGAGATTTCAAAAGAGAAGCGTTGCAAAATCATAGACAATGCCATTTTAGCCTCAGTGAGTGTAAAACTTTGACCAATACAAATCCGAGGTCCCCAACCAAAGGGAAAGTACGAATTAATTCCCTTAGTTGCCTTTGAATTCTTTGACATCTTCACCCCAAACTTCGGGATCCAAATGAGCATGCAACATTGAAAAAGAAACTGCCACCCCAGGTGGTATAACCAAATCTCCTAAGATTGTTTCACAATCGTACACCTTTCTTGAAGTAGAAACTATAGACGGATACAACCTTAGCACCTCATACAATATCATTGTCACCTAACAAGAGCAATCACACACAAATTAAGTAATCTATTTATGTACTAGTATTCACCAATACTTTTTTAATCAATTTTGCGAGGATGGATAGAAAATTTATTGTTGGTAAAAATAAAGAAAAATGCATAAGATTTAAGACTTGAACAATTAAAAGTGTCAAAGTATATAATAGGCTTGAGGAACTGAGTAAAGATCCTACTATCTTTAAACGACTATTTAAGCCATCAAAGTCAGGGTGGTTCATGCCAAACGTAGCAAGAACCTCTTCACGAGCTCGAGTTTGCCATTCTTGGTGCTTTCCTAACAAAGCAATAGTCCATGCTAGCAACACTGAGGTAGTCTCTTGGCCAGCTAAGAAGAATAACTTGCACTCGTCGATCACCTCTTCGAAGCTCATTGCAAGATCAAGTCGCTTCTTACTACTTATTTCACTCTCACCATCACTCAATTGTTTAGCCTCTCTAGAATTTGAATCCAAGAGTATCCCCAACAAGTCATCTTTGGCCGGTTCTCCGGCTTCCATTGTTTTCTTTCTTGTGTTGATTACCTTCTTCAATAGAGTTTTTATTTCGGCATTCATCTCATCCATCCTCTTCTTACCTTTTGTTGGCAAATATCTAGTGAACGCATATATATGATCAAATATTAATATCTAACCATATTTTATAGTCTCTAATGTCGTTGATAAAAAGTTGGTTAATTTTGTCAAAATGTTACAAGTTATAACCCTTGAAAGGTAAATAACAATTGAGAATAAATGTAGCTTACTTCCATCCTGGGATATAAGAATATTTTATTAGACGAATAATAATGTAGCTTCCTTCTGCTCCGTGAGAAGCTCAAATATTCTTCTTCCGTCCTCAAAGCTACTGCCAAATGCAGCTCGACAAATGGCGTCTGCAGTTAATTTCGTAAAATGCGGCCACACATCTATTTCCGAAGAACCGGTTTTAGAAACTGTCTTCTCCCAATTGTTTAGTGTTTCAATGATACTGGTGTAAAATGCTGGGAGCATAAGCTGCACGATTTGAGTGTAGTAAATCGGATTAAAACCAAGCTCAAATGTTATATATGTACAGTAATTTCGATATATCGTTTATAGTTTAGACTTATAATCACCCTACATATATATTATACGAAGTATGCAATTTATACATGTTACGAACATGACTAGATTTGGCAAAACTAACCTAAATTTTGATGAACTAACTTAATCTAAAGTGGTAAAAAAAACATCTTTTATTTTCATATTGGTGATTACTTATTTAAACTCGATCCCTTTTAATATCTTAGATAGACGCCTCAAAAACAATAAAACTTCCCCTCTTACATATTTTCACTCGAATATTTTTTTTTTAATTTTTTTTAATTTGAAAAGAAAGAGGGCATTAATTAGAGAATGTGCAAAGTTTGTTTGGCTTCCCATAGGATAGACCAAAATTACTCATGTGGATTTTCATCCCTACAAATATTACCAAAGTCATAGTCTAAAGTGTTAAACTATGACTTTGATAATATTTCTTATTTCTTGTAAAGTGGACACAACTTTATTATTTCTTCAATGTGGGATACACATCCCAATACAAACTCTCACTTATAAACTCAGTCAATGTGGGACAACACACCACTCATACGTGGGTTTTCTCGTGGGCTCAACATAAAGCATTAATACATGTATTACCAAAAGTCATAGTCTAAAGCATTAATACATAATACAAATCTAGTTCAAAAAAAGTAAAGTTCCTCTTGCATCTTTGATCACTCGAATAATTGAACATAAAAAAAAATTTTAAAAAAAACACAAAAATAAGCACTTGATTATTATTGGGACAAAGGGAGTAATACCTTTAGCTTATCGAGATGAAATGCAGGGGTGAGAATTTTTCTGTGTTTAGCCCATTGATGGCCTTCATAATTTACAAGTCCAGTCGAAAATGTTTGAATAAGTGGATTTAATTTTGATTTTCGGAATTCGTTCATTCTATTGAATCCATCTTTTATTTGTTCGGACTGTGTAACAAGTATTGTTGGCACGGGTCCCATCCAGCTGAAACAATTTGAACCTGCATGTATGCATTGTTGATCGATTAAGGTCTCTTGTGCATGTTCCAATTTCATTCAACTATACATATTTGGATCATAATATATAAGACAAGTGATTCAATTGACATTTTTTTTTCCTATTAATTTATTATATTACTTTATTTTTCATATAAAATGGTATTATTAACAATAATTTAATTTATCAAATTTGTAGTTTCATTATAAAATCTTTATTCTTTTTTTATAGTTTCTCGAAAAATATTTATTTTATTTTGGATTAAAAACTTCAAAAATTATATTTGCATTGTAGATATTATAAGAATAATTGTGGCCACTTTATAAAGTGAATAATGAACCAATCATATTGTATATCATTAATTAAAATAATATAGTAGAC